ACGGCACATAACAACAACAACCGCAAGGTTGGTGTTTCAAACCCACCAGTCGCTCTGAGGGAGAAAAGACATGGCGATTTGCTGTAATATTACAACCCAGGAAACCTTGTGGGATGGTTGTACTCTGTTCCATAGAGTCACTGAGAGAATCAACTTGATGGCAACCTAATGGTTTTTGTTTTTATGGTGCCAATATTTCACTCTTTTTTGTTTTCTTTTTATTACTCCCTTTAACTTGTTATCAGTGCTCCAAAGACATCAAGAAATCTTTATGTAAACATAGCAGGTGTAAAGACAAGGCACAGGAGCTGGGACTGATGATGTCATTAGCACATTCATTAAGTGGTTGCTTTTAAAAGTGAAATCTCTGGGTGATGCAACCATTTAACTTCTTCAGCTGCTACCCAAAAGGTTGGATATTCAAGTCTACCCATAGGCATCGTGGAAGACCTACTTGGTGAACTGTTACCAAAAACAGTCATTGCAACAACCCCCTAAGAGCACAGTCCACACCTGAGACCACCAGGATTTAGAGTTGTGTTGACAGCAATTGGTTCAAGTTTCCTGAACAACGGCATCAGTGTCCACTGGAAGATTTTTGGAAATGCAGAACCTCAGGCCCTGCCCTAGGCCTGCTGTATAACAAGAATCCCAGGTGATTTCTATTAACGTTTGTTGCTGTTGTTGTTGTTAAGTGCCGTGGAGTCAAGTATAACTCGTAGCAACACTATGAACAAAAGATCTGAACCTTGTTCTAGAAATATTGTCATTTCTTTAGTATTCATAGAGTTTCCAAAGGCATTTTGTTTAGGAAGCAGATGCCAATCCTGCTTCCAAGCCTGTCTTAATCTTGGAGCTCCATCAATCACTGTCCACCATGGATACCCATTAGGGCATTTGACATATCAATGGCACAGAGTTCAGCATCACAGCAACCCCCAAGTTTCCTCAGTACAGCACGCTGACAGAGTAGTTCTCTACCACTTAGGAGAATACTCTTCCCAAACATGGTTAACACCAACCAACTTTTAAATACAAAGGCCCGCCCACCCACCAGGTCCTGATTAACTTACAACAAGAGGCTTCCAGCCCACAGCTGATTGTTAGCTAAATCCAGTAAATCCAATCAGTTCACACATGCTTGTAAACAAAATTTTAAAAAACTGAAATGAAAAACAAACAAACAAACAAACAAAACCCAAAAAACTAAATGACCAAACAGTTTACACCCAGTTTTCAATTAAATCAAGAAAACTTACCCTCTTGAATCCAACTACTTCATATATGAGCCTCCCAACTGCAGACCTAGTCAGGGCACAACCAACTTTTAAAAACAAAGGCCCACCCACCAGGTCCTCATTGACTTAAATAAAAGGCTTCCAGCTGACTGCTAATTCTTAGCTAAATCCAGTAAATTGGCTAACACTAGCAAAAAAACAAGACAAAACCCACAACCATATAGCAAGATTTTCACACAGAATCATTCCTGGGAGGATAAAAGATATGAAAAGAGAGGGAGAGGTTAGGAAAAACTGATAATTGGGTAAGGAGCTGATCAGATAATTGTGATTAATTCATTGCCACTAATCACTAGCAATACTGTAATACAAGAAATGTCTATGAATGATTATTTTAAAAACATGATCTAAAAATAAATAAATAAAAATAAAAAAAAAACCATGATCTGTGAATTTTCACTCAAAACTATTTTGTAATTCTCTTAGAATTACTGCAACAAAAAATCTTTAAGCTTGGAGGGGAGAAGTGAAAATACGATGCACTAAGATATGAGAACTTGCTGTGTCCTTAGCCTTAGAAGCATCATTTTGCTGAGTCTTCATGGCAGTCCTTATGCCATCAGACCTATTGTATAGAAGACAAATTAAGTGACTTCTGTAAGGATATTATGCTAGTGAGTGGCAAACCCAGGAGTCAGCCAGTCCAATGCCAGACTTAGATTCCTAGCCATACACCATATTGTTATTGTTATTGTTGTTATATGCAGCTAAGTTGTAATAGATTCATGGCTGACTCTCCAGCAGGTTTTCAGAGGCTATTCATTGCACAGAAGAAGATGGCCCATCTTTTTCCTATGGAGCAGCTGGTGGATTTGAACCACCTGCCTTTGAGTTGATAGGGCAGCTCCTTACTCACTAGGCCACCAGAGTTCCCCGTATACCATACTGCTCTCCTGAAAAGGGAAACTCATTAATTCACTTGAGCTGTGCAAACATCCCCACCTTTACAGAAAAATAAATGAGAACAGGCTCTTGATTTGACAGTGCTGGCTGCCTCTCAAAGGCAACCAGCCTGGATAAGGAGAAGAGAAGAGGTGGTCAAACTTTGAGCTTTACTCAAATAGAGTAGAGTAGACCCAGGTAGTCCTGGACTTGCCATTCAGGTGTCCAAATTAATGTCCTGCCCAAACGTGGCTACCCAGTCAAGAGAACTGCACACAGGAGGCAGTCATTCTTCTCTGATCCTTCAGTCAATCATCCAGAGGATCAGAGCTTTGCAGCCACTGGCTCCTTGAGCAGCTGTAACCGTGACCTCACTTCGCAGGGTGCCAGACCTACATGGACATCATCATCGTCTTGGATGGCTCCAACAGCATCTACCCTTGGGTGGAGGTTCAGCACTTCCTCATCAACATACTGAAGAAGTTCTATATTGGGCCTGGGCAGATCCAGGTGAGCATCTCTGAGGTCCTTTCCTCCCCCAAACAGAGGTCCAATGGTGATGTTGTCTTCACGTGTGGGGAGCATTTTTGCATGCACTAGACATGTATAAGAGAGAAACAGTGTTGAGAGGGCCAGCCAGTGCCAAGGTCTTGCTGCCTAGAACACAATTCCTGGTAATCACGTCAAGAGACAGTCTGGAGTTTCATGGGTCAATCACTACCACCTATTAAGAAGATGTTCTTGGTGATGCAAACAGGTGTTTCACTACTAACCAAAAGTTGGCATTCAGATCCTCCCAGAGGTACCTCAAAAGAAAGGTCTGGCAATTTGCTTCCAAAAGAGCCCAGCCATTGAAATCCCATGGTGGGTAGTTCTACTATACAGCTCTGCTGTTGCCATGGGTTGAAATTGATGTAACCACAACTAGTTACTAAAGACTCTGACCAGTAGAAAGTTAGAAGGGAGGAAGGAAAGGTTGTATAGACAGGAGAACCCTGCTGAGTGAGACACAGGAGAATTAGGCTTATTGTTCTAGGAGACAGAAACACTGGGGGAAGATCGTAACTTCCAGCACATACTTGATATGCTGGGTTCTAAAGAAAGGGTGGACTTCGTGTGTATTGTTTGGGAAGGTGAGTGAGAACCAACGACTAGCAATTAAAAGAGGGCAAATTTCTAATTAGCCTAAGAAATACTTTAAATATTATTATTTTACTAATAAATAGAACTGTTAAAAAATGGAGTACACACTACTGAAAAACCACTTTCATGCTATCATGAAATAAACATACAGTATTAGAAAGACACTGTACCTAATAAACTCTGCAGGTCCATCCAACAATAATATCTTAGAATTCTATTCCTAATCTAGATCATTAAGGTGTCTCATAAATTATGAAGTTATTAATATTGTGGATTTTACCAACCTTGAGGCTAAAAGATGGCTTTCAAGTGTTAACTTCATTTCTGACATTGATAAATAACATCACGGCTTTCCATTCACATTGTTCCGCACAAGTTTCGCCTTCCTTCACATCCTGGCTCGATTTTTATCTAAGTAAGAAACTTAATTTATTGAACCCTTCTTCAAACCATGGATATTTCCCTCCCACAATCATGCACCTGGCCTTCATCCCAGTAAGGCATCAATTACTACTGAAGTTTCCTTTCCATCGTAGTTACTGTTTAAGTAACTGGTTGAGGTCTTCAACCTTCCTCACTCCTGAACCATCATAGACAGAGAGACTTCAGGAGAGCCTCACCATCAAAGGTCGCAGCTTTAGGAAGGCATCATGTTTTGGTCTCCTCTCCTTTGTTCTGCAGGTTGGCGTTGTTCAGTATGGAGAAGATGTGGTACATGAGTTTCACCTCAATGACTACAGATCTGTGAAAGATGTGGTGGAAGCCGCCAGTCACATTGAGCAGAGAGGAGGAACAGAGACCCGGACAGCATTTGGCATTGAATTTGCTCGGTAAAAAGAAAAGTCTTGGATACTCTTCCAGTTATGTATTGCTGCATAAGCAAACCACATAAAAAAAATCAGTCCTTCCACACACTCATTCACCAAGTTCTACAGATTCAGCTGGGAGGCTCTTTTCTGAACCCATTCATAGAGCTGCAATCTGGTATCATCTGGGGTTGTTTGGGGAAGGGTTTCTTTAAAACTTTTTATTGCTGCTCCTTGGAGGCAAGGAATCTGAAGCTTCATCTGACATGCTTTGGACATGTTGCAAGAAGGGACCAGTCCTTGGAGAGGGACATCATACTTGAGAGGGTGGCGGGACAGCACAAGAGAGAAGACCCTCAATGAGATGGATCAATTCAGTGACTGGGGTAATGGGGGTAGGTGTGTCAGAGACAATAAGATTGGCATGGGATCGAGCAGGGTTTATGGCTATTAAACATAGGGTCACTATGAGTCACCATGGCGCATAACAACAGTTGTGATTTGGGAGAAAGTTAACAGAGAAAATTGGGTTTCCATTCAACAAGTGATGGACACTTGATTTGTGACGTTGATTGTGTCCCCATGGGGTAACAATTATTATTCCCCAGGTTTACTATTTCCAGTTGTCCTCCTTTCCTACCACATCCTGTCTTCTGAGTTTCATCCCTGGGCATATGCTGCCCTCTTGAGCTTGTAGGATTGGTGTTTCTGAAGGAGTGCACCTCCCTGGTAGTTTGTTCACCTTGTAGGCCTGTCTGTTTGCCTGAAAGAGGAGTCACACAGGTGAGCTCAGTTCCAGGTTTGAAGGATGTCTGAGAGGAGTCTCAGGCATTCCCCTGGTCTCCATCAAACCAGTAGACCTGACCTTTCTTATGATTTTTGAGGATTTTTTGCACATTTTCCTCTCATTCTGTTCAAGGTCTCCTATTAGAGCAGTTGACAGCAGTAGTTAGGCTCCATACAATTCGTCTGGGTCATTGAAGTTTTTATGGTGTATTAGACCTTTGATTGTTTCCATGTGTCTTTGATTCTCTTCTCTCTTCTTGTGCTCCAGACAGTGAAAAACCAGTCATTGTGCTTTAGATGTCCCCTCCCGGGTTTTTAAGACCCCAGTCACTACTCCCCAAAGTAGGAGGCAGACAGTGTCTTTGTGGACTGCGATATGGCAGTTGATCCTGAGGTCTCCCAAGCTAAGGCTGTTTTTATTTGAAGGTCCATTCAACTGAGCTAGACATCCGAGATGGCTCACTCACATGTCCAGCAGTTGATACTGGCTGTTGGCAGGGAGCTCAGCTGGGACAATCACCTGAGTACTCACGCATGACCGTAGAAGTGACAGCTAGATTCTAAAGCTTGTCTCAACAGCAAGCTTTCCAGTCCAGGATATGCTGGTAGGAGTACTACCAGGTTGCCTACAACCCTGTAAAACAAAATAGTAGAACAGAACTAACTCTATCTCTCTCTCTCTCTCTCTCTCTCTCTCTCTCATCATAATGTTGAGCCCCAACTCCAGAGGAAGAGAATTTTATTCTAATTGATTCTGCCTCTGAAGGAAAGAGTGGCAAGGTCAGATGGCAGAACAGCGTGTGGGGTGAGGGGTATTGTTGTAACCAACTTTGGAAAAGGCATTGGGCACAGGTATCATAGAAAAAGTGTATTGGATCTTGGAAAGCAGAATCTTCCAGTGTTTGCCATCACTTTGGTGTGAAGAACATCATTAGATCCAATGTCTGAGATTGAAATGGTGAGGTTGATTCTCTAAAACACAACAAAACTCAGTCATCTGGATGAATGTTCTCTCTAGAAGTTATCTGCACCAAAATTGTCCTTATTCACGCCATCATTGCTCAAAACATTATATGCACCCTATAAAAACCAGCCAGCTTTTTGTTCTGTTGTGTGTGGGGTGTGGTTTTTTAATAGTTTATTTTTTAATTTTATTTTATACTGGTTTACATACAAAGTTCATATACATTATTTTTCACACCAGACCTTTCCCTTTTCCTTTACCAGTCCTTCCCTCCCACCCCCATCAAATTGTGTGACCCTATGTTTAAGTCCCCCTAAATCTTCAGACACACTCTACAATAATGGTCCTGTATAGTATTTGTCTTTATGAGACTGAGTTAGTTCACTTAGCATAATACTCTCCAGTCCCTCCCATGTTAGGTAGTAATCTATAAAATCATTGCTCCTGAATGCTGCATAGTATTCCATTGTGTGAATGTACCATAATTTCTCAATCCATTCCATTGTGGTAGACATTTGGGCTGTTTCCATTTTCTTGCTATGGTGAATAATGCAGCTATGAACATTGATGTGCAAGTCTCTGTTTGTGCCTCAGTTCTCATTTTCTCAGGGTATATTCCAAACAGTGGAATAATTGGGTCATAATGGAATTTCTATTTTCAGCTTTTTGAGGAAACACCAAACTGCCTTCCAGAGTGATTGTACCGTTGTACAATCCCGCCAACAATGTATAAGAGTTCCTATCTTGCCAGATCCTCTCCAACATTTATTACTTGCTGTCCTGTTAAACTTTGCCACTGCTACTGGAGTGAGATGGTATCTCATTGTGGTTTTGATTTGCATCTCTCTTATTGTCACTGATTGGGAGTGTTTCTTCATGTGCCTATTGGCCATCCGAATATCTTCCTCTGTGAAATTTTTTCCATGTCTTTTGCCCAATTTGTAATTGGATTATCAGTCATTTTCTTCTGGAGGCCCTGTAGTAAGTATTCTGTAAACTTTCATTATTAAACCCTTGTCTGAGATGGTATTGCCAGATGTTTGTTCCCAGTCAATAGGTTCAATAGGTTTTCTTTCCAGCTGTTGGAAAAAGTTGTTTGGGTTTTTTTTTTAATTTTATTTTATTATTTTGTGTGTGTGTACTGTCAAATCAGACCTCACTGGTACAGGAGGAGATTGCCCCTCCTTCTCCAGAAGAGCATCTGGTGGATTTGAACCACATACCTCTGAGATTGCAGTGCAGCTTCTTGCTACTAGGCCACCAGAGCAAAAAGTTTTTGATGAGTCCCATTCATCAACAAAAATGAAGTGGGAGGCATAGCACTCCCTGACCTCAAAACCAACCACACAGCAGCAGTAATCAAAACAGCATGGTCCTGGTACAATGGCTGGCACATAGACCAATGGAACAGAATTGAGAACCCAGAAATGGACCCATCTATCTACAGTTAACTGATATTCGACAAAATCAAATAGGGAAATGATAACCTCTTCAATATATGGTGCTGGCAAAACTGGACTACTACCTGTAGAAAGCTAAAACAGGATCCACACCTCATCTCACACCATACACTAAAATCAACTCAAGGTAGATCAGAGACCTTGGAGTAAAGCCCAAAACTATAAAGTTCATAAGGGACAAACTGAGACCAAGCTTAGAAGGCCTAGTCTATGGTATAAAGGGACTGCCAAACACAGCCAGAAATGCACAATCTGAAGAGGATAAAACCAGCCAGCTTGAAGAACAGTTACTCAGTACCTTTTGAACCAAGGCCTAAACTCATAAGTGGACTCTGGCAAAGATACTTAGATTATAAATATGTGAATTTTACACTTACTGCAACATTCATTGACTCCACGGGCCTATCACTTTAAGATCCCACCGCACACAGTCAATGTGTTTTAACAGAATAGCGGTTTAGTAATATCATGAGTTCATGTAGTCAAAAGATTAATGTTTTTCCAACCTCACGGCTCTCTTTGGTGAAGTCACCATTCAGCTGTTTGCTGATAAAAGTTGTTCAAGCTTTTCCTAAATGAGCATTCCTCTGTGCAAAGATGGTTCTTTTACTCATCCTCACGAGGGATGGTCCATTTTGCTGTTTTTCCATCACTGAGGTGGGCCAGCTAAGCCTCTGAGGCTCCCAGCAGGCCTTTGTGGACTGGCTGGCTGAAGTGATGGCAGCTCCTGTGACCACCAAGCTATCGCTTTCTTGATGCAAAGCTAATTAACTCATATAGACATGAAACCCACTGTTTTGGTCTCATTTTGCAGCCGTCCAACCCCAGGTCCATTATAATAGTGTGACTCACCAGGTAGTTTGAACCATTAAAGACTCATGAGTACCACAGGGTTATACAACTTCACCTCAGATGAAGTTCGAAATTCTGAGCTTCCCAGCCTGCCAAGTTCAGGGGCCAAATTATAGCCAGTTGAATTTTTTTTTTTTTTTTGCCAATGTAATTTAAGATGAACAGTTTTCTCTGCTCATTCAATTCTTCATAAGGCATTTTTCCCCCCTGAATACCTACTAATAAATTAAAAGATGTATTACAGTGGGGAAATCTGCTGTCAAGGACCTTTTTAACGTGCTAATAAGTAAGGGGATCTAGTATAGACTAAGGTGCACCTGATCCAAGCTATATAGTCTTTTCCTTTGCTTCCTATGTGTCTGAAAAATGGACAATGAATAAGGATGACTGAAAAAGAATTGATGCCTTTGAATTGTGATGTTGGGGCAGAATCTTGCATATCCCATGGGCTGCCAAAAGAAAAAATAAAAATAAGTCTGTCTTGGAGGAAGTGCAATCAGGAGGCTCCTAAGAGGCAAACATTGTAAAACTTCACCTCACATACTCTGAGCATGTTGCCTGCAGGGGCGAGTCCTTGGGGAAAAACACCTTAGTGGGAGAGCTAGAGAGTCAGTGAAAGAGAGAGACTCTTAATAAGATGGATTGATGGTGACTGTAAGAATGGGCTCAGGTATATCAGACATCATGAGATGGCGCAGGAGAGGACAGTGCCCCAATCTGTTGTTTATAGGGTCGCTGTGAGTCGTAGTCCATTTGATGGTACCTAACAACAACTGAGAGCAAAGAGACAGACCTGAGGAACCATGGTACCCCAGCCTCAACTCACAGCCTGATAGGGGAGCTCACCCTAACTGGATGAAGGCTGAGAGGACCCTCCCACAAGTCTGCAAGAATTGCCAAGAGAGGGCAGAATTTGACTTGTGCATATGGTTAATGTGCTAAGTTGCTAAAAGTTGCAAGTT